CATGTTATGTGTTTCTGTGAGCGCCTATGTATGTGTGCATGTAAATATGTTCATGACGATCTATCTTTGACGCACACATAAAGAGCAGTCAGTATATACATCTGTGTACATGTGTACATACACATAATCGTGTTTATGCTTAGTGGCATCGTGACATTTGGACCGATGGACATATGCATTCATGTTCTCAGGATCCTTTCAGTGCAGGCTCTGTCATGTTGGCACGTATCATGTCTTGCCGCTGGCAATGGCTGGCCTTGGAAAGCACCGGGTCTCGACCTCCAGCATTGTATCCAAGCTCTTCGAGGCTTTTGGGCTTTTGGAGCGAATCTAGGGCCTTGCTAAATTCGAAACTGAGATGGGGTTTATGAGATACCATTGTACAAAGGAGCCCCCGACAGAATACTATTCATTGTTCAGGCTTCCATTTCCGGGCTTCTCGTGACTTGGGCGTATAGTATACTATACTTATAACAAGGAACCCCCCCCCCCCCCCGGATAGTCTAGGTAATTATTAAATCCTCAATGTTACACGTGTTAACTTCGGGCCTGCACTCTGTGGAGGAGATCTTGGACCATGTCTTCGTGCCGGGCATCGTGCGCCGGCATTTGCCTCATCGATGGTTCCCTCACTGGTGGCAGGACACTGGGTCTGTGATCTCTACACTCCGCCAAGCATTAAACCCTGAACTGGAAACACTTCAACCCTCAAACTCCATATGCCCCACATGCCTCGCCTGGATTGCCGGAGTGTGTGTCCGCAGAAACCCCCTAAGCCCTACCAGTAAAACCCTTAGGCCCTAAACCCCCCAAAAGCCTTAAACCCCTAACCTCTACTGGCCCTTACTTGCCCTTGAACTCTCCAGCCTGAACCGGAGACCCGACGGAGCCAAGCCATGAAACTTGCAATCAGCGCTGGCGTCCGGAGTTTTTTTTTCTCAAAAAGTCGTATCTAAGATAACCGAGGTACCTGATCTGAAGAAAGGTAGATGTATCGAATGTTTAGTGTCATTTCCGTTTCTTAGAGGTACACTGGCTACTCAAAGTAGTGCTGTTGCAAACGGCCTTGGGCATGTTTTAGAGTGTTAGGGGTTCGACTGGGGCTTTTGCAGTTATAGGGCCTAGGGTGTAGCGTAGGCATGTTTTGGGAAGCACCTGATCAGGTCAGGACTCTGGGAGCAGGTAGAGGCACAGTGCACGCAGGCATCTACCATCGAGTCTGCCAGAGCTAGGTCACTTTGCAAGAACAAGGGTATATCTTTAGCCAAGAGCAGGCATGAGCAGGCATTCCTGCACTCAAACCAAACCCAAACCAAAGGCCCAAGTGCTTCCTTTGGCACTTTGATTTACTCAGCAGGCTCGACGTACCCTTTTGCCGAAGCTCCCATGTGCCGCGCGGATGCGCAGGAGCTGGTGAACTTCTTGCGAATTGGTGTCACTGGCCTGGAGATATGTGCATCTTTAACAACCTCGGCTCTGGCAAGCAAGCGCTGTCTCCAAGCCGGTAAGCCTTAGGCTGCAAGTCCTGCTCACGTTTCGTGAGCTATGAAAATGGCATGGACCTCTAGAAACACCGAGCCCTAGATCTACAAATGGAAGCCATACATCCCGAAACCCGAAGGCCCGTCATGTCGAATCCGAGAGCCCTAGAACAATAAAAGGGAACGAAGTCTCCAAAATCATTACATGAACTCGTGGAGCAAGTTGTGAGCCGTTCATAGGCCCTCAACAAAAAACTCAGGGCTAACATCTCTGATTCTCATGTGTATCAGATCTGGAGCCTCAAAGAAGACCGGACATCACGACGAGTTTTGATGTTTGAAACGTCAGGTCCTGGTCCCAACGAAGGATTTCGAGGACTCCCTCTCTGGTGACGGGTTGGCGAAGCCCTAAACCCTAGGTGGCAATTTGGGAAACTTTTTAATTTCCCTTATGGTTCCTATAGAGGTACCTATTCATAAATACTTTTGAGAGCCCCAAAACTACAACCCAGAACCCGTCAAGCAATAGAGGGGGCGTTAAGCTAGCAGTCTAAAGTCCACAAGGTTCCTGAGCAGTTCGTACGGGAAAACATACCCATTCCTTTGGGGTTCCAAAATTGGCCCTAATGCATTGAAAGTATGGAAAGACACCCAATAACCCTACTCTAGTTGGTTACAGCCCGCTACATTTTTTCACTGCAGATCGAGCTTTGTGGGTCACCGATGGCACCTCGAGTGTTCGGAGCCTGCTTCGAATTCACTGAGGGACTGTAGGGCACCACCCCAGGCGCCAGCAAGGATGTTACAACTAACCTGTTGGGGTTTAGGGTTTGAGATTAACCTCCAGACTCCCCGACCCAAAATCACCTCCAAGCCCTGCCAGTCTTGTGGAATTTACGGTAGTTGTCGCACTATATGTCCTTACGTGCCTGCTACCGTTGCCGATGTATGTCTGGCTTGGGGGATGATGGCAGGTGGTCTCTGTTTAGGGTTTAGGGGTCTTGACTTACCAGTTGATAAGTTTTTTCAACCTGGGGTAGCCGTGTGGCACGAGTCCGCAGCACGGTCGGCGCCTCGGTTCCTGGCATCTGCATAGTCCAGGTGTAAAAGGGGTCTTGACTTGACTTAGGGACCCATCGCCCCCTTGACTTCTACAGGATCCTCCTGCATGGCACCCATCTGAAGCCTGAAGACCTAAGCTGAGACTCAAACCTTAGGGCCGTTAGGGTTTAGGGTTTTGGAAACTAAGAGCGACAAAAAAGGAAACTAAGAGCCACGGGCCCGAAACGAGAGACTAGAAGACTTCGCAGGACACTTGCAAGTCGTATTTCGGCACCTGGACCTTCGAAGAAGCCTTCCAGCGTACCGGCCGGCCCGCCTTCGGGATGCATTGAGTCGAGCCTTCCGGAAGATGACATACGTTTGTTAGAAGAACAGTGAGTACATGATGTTGTGGAGAGGAAGGAGAGGGGTGGGGGGAGTTTGAGCTGTAAGTCTCTGCTTCATCCGAGAAATGTGCGTTTCTGTCCCAGACTGGTTCAATTATCACTTAAGGTCCAGATCGCCCTTCTCACAACCCTTACCATGGCCAGTGGTTCGACAAAACTCACCAATGTCAGAGTCTGGTAAGTATCTGGACCCCCAAAGTATGTAGTCCATATAGCTCAATATAGTCTTCTATAGGTGTCGGGCCATGACTTTGACTTGCTTTGGGGTTCGTAACCCTAAACCCGAAACCCGTCCTTGCGAAGCAGGGCGGTAATACCGCTGTACACAAACCATGCGACATACCGCAGTCCTTTCCAACGAATCCTCGCGCGAGCGAGCATAGATCCCGGCCATGCGAGACAAAGAAAAGTAGAGCAACACGACAAATCTAAAGGCCGATTAGGGATTACTAGCTCGTTTATACCGCTTCCCCCCTCCTTCAAGGATACTAAACCCCTAAACTTTAAACCGTCTGTGTCGCCAAGGTTACCATCGTGATCTCCTCGAACTTCTCTCGGAAACTTCCGGCCTGTGTCATGCTGAAGCTCTGCGGCCTTCAGCCTCCGGGTTTAGGGTTACGGGTTTACCTATAGTCTCCATGGCTCCTTTTGGGGGTTACCTTAGAGGATCCTAGTTATGTAATTGGTTAAACCAAAAAAAGGAACTACAATGGAGACTATAGGTAGGGCTTATAAGGCTTATCAGGGCTTAAGGACCAACTTAGGCTTGCGAGTTCATCCTCGGGGTCCCCGGGCCGCCAAATTTCGCCAGCGATAGTGCGCAGTCTGAGTCCTGCAGTCGCTTGCCTCAGCCCTTCCCAAAGGGTCCAAAGTGCCTGTATGGTTTGTATGAACGAAACATAGATAAACTAAGCCCATCACCACATTCATGTAATTTGTTTCAGGTTTTCTGGAACATTCCGGTGCGTAGATGGATGTTTACCTCAGGAACCACATGACCACGCCGCGTGTGACGATCGCCTCTGCCGTGGCGACATCTTGCGCCGCCATTGGCGTCACCGGGCGCAGGGCTCCTGTAGAGTCCTGTAGAGGGCCCATGTACCCAAATATGGTAGCTTGTAGGCCGCAAGACTAGTTGATCGAGGTTATTGGTTTCGGACCATAAGCGCTACAACGCCACTATTGGGGCACTGAGACCCGCAAACAAAGGGCTCAAAAAACGCTGTGATGTGTTCAGGGAAAGTATGTAGTCAAAAACATCGGTCCTTGCGAGCAACTATTAGTTGCACTAGTATTATTTCTGTTAATATAATTCGCATTGTGATTCAGAATTACTATAGTAGCTCTGCTTTTGAACCTCCGCAGGCTTAGGCTCTTCACCCAGGTTCCCAAAGTGTACGGAAAGCTCCAAACGAAAACCCTAATTGAACTCTGAACCAAAGTCGAGAAGTGTGTCAAAAAGCCCTGGCCCTATCCAAAACCGCAAGCCCCAAGCCAGAAACCTAAGACCCTAAAGCTGACGCTCCATGCTCCTCCTCAGTCGCGAGGCCCGCAAAATTACACGTAAGTGTTGTCTTGATTTGTTGGAATTGTTCAGACCAGGACCCTCCCTCTAAAGCTTAAACACGGGTAAATATGTGGCCTTAGTGATACGTACTCATTTGCGTCAGAACAGAAGCTAAACAGCACCGTAACTGTTGTAACTAGAAGTATTATAGGTATAGCAGATGGCAGTTCCGACATGGGACCGGAGACACAAGCTCCTACATCATGCATCTTGAACTCCTTTCGCATATGTCATTGATTGGAAGCTTAAGCCGTAGGCGCCAAATTCGCATTTCGACCAACCCACACACCCTAAACCTTCTAGACGCAGAATCTGAAATCCAAAACCATCGAACATCTCTACCCTTGCATCATTTCAAGCCATAAGCTCAGGTAATGAAGCCAAGGGGACTTGTCGCCGCTTGGATGTTCAGCCCGACGAAGCATTGAAGGTTTCTTTGGCAGTTTAGGGTTTAGGCTTGGGCTTGGACACTGCCCCCACTCAGTAACAGTTGAACAGTATGTAGAAGATGAATATACCGGGCCCTCGATATATGGCCTCTTATAGACCGTTACTGTACGGGGGCAGTGGGCCGTTTCTTTTCCGACTTGTGCTTTGTTCTTTCTGTTCATAGCCGGCCTTTGGGGTGCTTGTAACCCAGAGAAGCCAAAGGTCCTAATGTAGGAACCTCATTAAGAAACCCTGGCCCTATACTTAGTAGTTGGGTTGGTAAACTTTACTGTAAACTTTCTGCAATAATGAAACCCTGTACAAAACTGAAAGTGTAAACTTTCTTGGGCTAATGAACTCGGCAACTAAGTATCATCCCCAATATAGTAGGATTCATATAAGGAACCCTGATAAATGCCCAAGGTTGTCTTAATCAGGTTCCTACGTTACAAAACCTTGAAGCCTCAGGAGTTGCTCTTCCTGAAACCATCTGAGTAACCTTGTATGGGAGTTTCCGAAAATGGGCTTAGGGGATCCTGACATAATACCCTAACTAGTAGGATCCTTATTATAAGGACACCAAAATACGGTACCCGTAATTTCCGAAAACTCCCATATGGTACTCCATCACGGTATTTTTGAGGGGGCGAGGTTCTACCAAGTGTCTGGGAGACTGGGTCACCGAATTCTTGAAATATTCTGCGCCAAGCGCTTGTCACAGGTGCCGAGCCCCAAAGTAATTATATAAAAAGGAAACAGCAGCAACACAAAAGCACGAAAACATCCCCGGAACCCAATGCTAAGCTAAGGTGAAGAATCCGGTGACCGGGCATTTGTCGCCCTTCAACGTCCTGGGCGAATCCTTTGCGGACGGCTCCTTCACTGCTGAGGTGCCCAAGGACGCCACTGATTTCAGGCTTCACCTGAGTCCATAACACATCATTCATAAGACAACCTATGTTTTTTTCTAGGGGGTTCCTCAGGGAACTTACTATTGGGGGCCAGGGGCTCCTTGTTATTGTTATTACTTACCTTTTAAGTGCTCCTTCTATGAAACCTTGTTCATAGAACCGCTCACATAAAATGAAGCTCGGTTTTCTGAGGTTCAGAGGTTCAGGTACAGACTACGGTTGCAGGATTCAGGGTTTAGAGGTTTAGGTTTTCCTTGAGGGCTGCAGTTTCGGATTCCGGCTTGATCCACGCCAACTCCGACAATCCCTGTCCGAGCATGATGTGATGATCATGAAACCGCTGGTCGGACCCATAGATCGTGCCGCCCATAAAGGATTCTACACCTGAAGCCCTCTTACGTGACATCACTGTTCATACCGATTGCCATGTCATTCGTCTGACTTCCCAACCTTGGACATAATAGGCTTTCCTTCGGTTTAGGGTTTTGGACGTGGCTTTTTGACGAACATGCCGGGGCTGGCTGGCCCGGTATGTGCTTATGAGCAGGACCTTCCTTTAGGGTCTCTGTCAGGCATGCTCAGTTGCATTGCTGCAGCAGCTGCCACTACGATTGCCGCTGCTGCTCCCAGCCATCCTATTTCTGCAAGTAGAGTCGTAAGAACAGTAACAGTGGCGGGAAGAAGCAAAGCAATAACTTCAGCAATGTTAACCAGACTAAGAAGAACAACACTAATGAATTGACCATACGGTCCTTAAGATTTTGGCATGGCAGGACTACCTCCGCTCCTGCTTCGGAGCGACCCGATTCCTGGTGTCGCAGGTGACACCGCCCAGCTGAAGGAGTGTTGCTGCGCTTTGCACGGGTTTGAGTCCCAGGGTTTGGTGTGAGGTTGTCGGGTCGAAGGATTCAGGCTTAGGGTTGGGGGAGCGTGAAGGTTCCAGGCAAGGAAGACTAAGGCATGCACGTGTGTTGAAGCCCTGAAGCCCACAAACTAGCTCTTCAGGTTTATGGTTTATGAAGCCTACAGTCCCAAAGGGTCCAAAGTACTGTTATGGGGGCTACTTCCCCAAATCATAATAGTAATTCCTAATATAGGAACCCTACATTCTACCATAAAGGTACTTTGGACCCTTTGGGAGTGCTCTGCCCAAAGACACGGCTCCGCAACCGACAGACCGACATTGAGCAGGCAAAGACCTTTGAGGGTGGGTGTCTACCTTGGGGCTACCAGAGGAACCCGAAACTCCGGATAGCGTTCAGGGTTTCGGGTTGAGGGGTTTAGATTTAGGGACGTATTTGGTTGCAGGTGAATCCACACGTCTCCTCCTTCTTGGAGGCGAAAGGTGGTGTGCTCCACATGCTCCGAGGCGCACGTCGAAACCTATCAAAAGCCTTATAGACCTTCTTTTTCCGAGTGCCATCAGGCCTTGGGGTTTCTAAGGGTGTAGGGATTGTTTAGAAAAGAGTCCTCGGTTCCAAACACCTTAGACCTAGAAAGCACGCAATCCGCTTTCCCCCCACTCGTATCTGGGTCAGGTAGGCAGTCCGATTAGGGATTTTGGGGGCTGACGGTTTTTCTGGTGTATGTTTAAAGGCGCGTCATGAGGCTTTAGCACTCTGAGGCCTCCGGTTCAAACTGAAATAGCAGGTATAATAATAACAATACTAATAGTAATACTAGTAATACTAATAGTAATGATAGTAATATTAGTAATAAAAGGGGTTTTGGGATGTACGGGTGTGGACTGGAGTCTGAGTGTTGACCCGTTTCGTGTACGAGTGTGGTTGCCTTTGAGCCATCTTCGACTCCTCAGCTGACGCGTAATTAAGAGCCGAGTGGATATGACATGAGCAGCACGTAAGGTTTACAAGGCTTGAGGGCTTAGGGTCCAGAGGCTAGCTGTGCAAATCTCGAGAGGCTACTTCGGTATGGACCTTCAGCAGCGCGCGCGGCTGCTGTCGGAGCCTTTTTTTCGTGAGTTTCTTTAAGGGCAGGCGGCTGATCTTTGCTGGGTTCAGACGCTGCCTGAACTCAAGAACCTTGTTGATGGGCGGTCGTGTGGTTACCCTAAGGCCCCAAAGTAGTTCCGTTTTGGGGTTCATGTAAAGAATGCTATAAGGTAATCCCAAAAAGGAACTACTTTGGGGCTTATGGGTAGGCTTTTCGGAGAGGTCGGCAGTCGGGATCATGGCCAATTTTGCTCACGAGATGTGCGGCAAGCCGTGGCATGTCGTGATAATCCTAAGCACCTGGTCGCCAGAAGCATGAACGTCCGAACATACCCTCGGGCCTTAAAGCCTGGACAAGCCTGAGAAGTCTGAGAATCAGAAACCCTCTTCACACACGACAAGCCTTCATTATCAAAAAGAGTATCCCGAACCCGCGATGTACATCCCTAGGTCCCTAAGCCTGGCACCGCTAATTACTAATTGCTGAACAAGGCCCTTATTCAACACGAGCCTGTCGATTTACCTCGAACTCCCGAGCTCCGCTAGAACCTCCCCCAACACCCGAAATCCGAAGTCCCCAAACCCTGAAGCCTCTCTCTCTCTCTCTCTCTCTCTCTCGCACTTGCTAACTACCCCGCCTGGCGATCCGCGCAGCAATCTAGGAAGTCAACATTGTCCCTGAACCCTGAGCCTATATCTTTCAAAACCTCGAAGGAGTACAACCTGCTGCCCTCCTTCTTCGGCCGCGCCATGTGCCAGGCACGCCCCGCGAGCCTATGATCCCCACCAGTGTTTCAGTGCCCTGGAGGGGGTTGGGTTGGGGGGGGTTGGGTTTAGCGCTACACCCTCAACCGTAAGTCCACAAAAACCTTATTCGAAAGCTCCCGCAGCCGGCCCTTGCGCCGCCGGCTACAGGCAACGAAGCATCTGTCTCAAGATTTTCACGAGTCGAAATCGGGCTTGCTTCCTGGCTTTCCAGTCCCTGCGATTTGGGGTGCAGGGTTCTGGTAGGATTTCGGAGAGGGGGGGCGGGGGTTGGGAAGGATGTATCAGGTTCAGTTTTCATGCATGTCGAGCATTTCGAGGATTTGGGCTTTGGGTTAAGATTGGAGCATATGCTTCACTTCGGTCGCTGCAGCCACCCGTAACTTCACATGCTCGGGTTTAGGGCTTCGAATACCGCCCAGACCCTAAACCCCGAAACTCGTAAACCCCATACCCGTAGACCAACCTGACGGACAAGAAGAGCAAGAAATGGCAATCTGCAAAGTTCAGCCGAGGACCGTGCACCCTCCGCACGTGGGCCTGGCGTCAGTAAAGAATGCCATCTCCAACCCTACGCCGCGGGACATGGCCTTGACCTCAGCAATATTCAGCAATGAACAAAAAGCTTATATAGTGTAAGCCTCGTATAAGCACTAGAGGTGTATACTGTATATATATATATATATATATATATATATATATATATTATACTTATTTATTTGTTATATATACATATGTATATAGGATTGTGTGTGTGTCTATATATATATATATATATATGTATGTATGTATGTATAAACATGCAGAGAGACAGAGAGAGAGAGAGAGAGAGAGAGAGAGAGAGAGAGAGAGAGAGAGAGAGAGAGAGAGAGAGAGAGAGAGAGAGAGAGAGAGAGAGAGAGCGAGAGGGAGAGGGAGAGGGAGGGGGAGAGAGCTTATGCGGGCTTTTTAGGGTTGTGTGAGCCAGGCGGCTTGAAGTTTAAGGTTTGGGGTTTATGACTGTTTTGGTTTGGAGGTTTTGCGCTCGCAAGCAAGACAGAACTTTGAGAAAAAGAGAGCCGGAACAACAAGCACCTGCAGTGCACGACCTGAAGCAACAATACACCTGACACCTGCCTCACTGAGCACCCTCCAAGCCCGAAAACTAAAGCCCTCAACGCCAGCCTCTAAACCCCATGGCCAGAACCATACGTCTTAATCACTGAAAGCCCGAATACCGACCCACCCTCAGGAGCAGTACATCCTTCGGGGGCAGCGAATGGCCTGGGAGAAAGCCCACGAGATCCGCACGATGATGCTGCTCGAGGACGGTTTCCAAGGTTTCGATTTCGGCTTTGGCGGCTGGGGTGGGGGGGGGGGGGGGGTAAAGGGATTCAATTTCAATGTTGTTTTGGGTCGACATGTAGCCCGAAACAAGCGGAAAATTGGGTTGTCAATGAGGCAGTAGGATCCACAGGGCAGTGTTTCCAGTTCGGCGCTTTTTTGTGTGGTTTGTGCAATCTGACCATTCTCACTAGCCCGAACTGACTTTTGTTTTCCAGTATCTCGGTTGCCGAATTATGGAAGTGGCCGGAACACCAGGATCCTCAGTATCGTCCTTGAGAAGGGAAGGAGGCTAATTAATCAGGAATCTGGACCAGGTGCGACAGCAACCTCTCTTCATGTAGGTACGTCAAATTATGTCAATGTGGATGCTGAATATCGAACTACGTGCTAGCTGTACCAGCACAGAGTGCGCTATTCGGGTTCCCAGAGACTCCAAGTAGTTTTGCGTAGGGAACATATCTTAAGTCATATTTGGGATGCCACTATAGTTTATAGAAGGTATATTCTGTGTTTCAGGAGTATTGGAATCTTTGTGTTTTCAACCTCGAGAGCCCCAAGCCGTCACAGGCCGCTGTGGCACGATGCTTGGATCGTGTCGAGGGGCGTTCTGCCCACACGGCTCTTTGCCACTTGGGAGAAAAACGCTACCGAAAGATCACACTTCGATATTTTCATACTAAAACCAGAACCCCAAAATGACCCACCAATTCAACAGCCTTTTCACGAAGCGTGAGAGATCCTAGACGCCGCTCTCACGCCATTCAATGCTCTGTGGCATGCTGAGGCAAAGAGCAACCTCCTCCACAGGAAGCTTGCGATGAGGACCTGTCCTGTGCAGCTAGGCTTCCGCGGACTCGAGCCGAAGAACCCAGTTGCAAAGGTATACCCTCAACCCAAACTTTAAGCTGCTTAAACTCCAATTGGGCCAAAGCTCTAGGCCAAAGCCTCAAATCCTCATTTCCACCCAAACCCTGAGCCCCATAACCCTTCATCCAAGACTCCCTGCAATGCGGGCTTCGTCCTTGCTAGGTGGAGGGTAACAACCCTTCTTGTCTGAGGGCGAGAGTGTAAACGCCTCCGTAGACCCTCGAGGAGCCTGATCCCTTCGGCGATGCTGCTGTGACTTCCGAGATCTCACGGCACATCTCTGCCGACAGCGCTTGCTTCGGCCCTGCTTCCTGAGTCTTTGAGGACTCTTCGGGTGTCGCTGTAGAGAAACTTCGGCAATTGCACGTATACTTCTGTAGTTCTGTAGAGGCACCTTGTTTTAGTTGGCCAAAGAAAGTCTCAATCTACAACCCTGTTTTAGGCTGCGCAGAGGAGTTGGAAGGCTGTGCGGATGAGGCGGTATCTCGGGCTTCGTTGATTTTTCGGCTTTGTGGTGTGGTGGTCTGGATTGCTAGGGCTCGGGGCTAGAAGCCTAGGATTACGGTTTGAAGGTTCAATATCTCATGAAGTCGCTACAGCTCAAAATCAACCCAGGGTTTGTGAGTGCGAAACCAGGTCACAGGTTCCAGAAGCGCTGAACTCTGCACCCGAAACCCTTACAGTTCATATCCGACCAGAGCAAACCCGAAAATCCTAAAGGTACTAGTGTCGGCTTGAAACATCGCAAGTCCAGGCCCAGGAGTAGATGTGCTTGCTGCATCCAATTCGGCATACCGCCGCTTCTTTTGTAAACACGCGGCAGGAGGAGCGGAGGGACCCTTAGCAGAAGATTAAGACAAGGGTTCTATCCGATAGGGGGTCTAGAAGAGTGTTTAACATGTATCATCGTTTAGCGTTGTACTCAGGTTTCACTGATCCAGAAGTCTCGACCCTTCCTTTAGCTAGCAGAATTACAACGGGCCCAGTACAGCCCATGAAAGCCCACGATTTAGACTCGTAGATTTTGGGGTAGTTTGACACAGTTATCCTCTGCTTCCATGCACCTTATAATTGGGGCCCTAGACCCTTTAAGGACCCAATAAGAAGGTCCATGGAAGCATAGGGTTAAGCAAGTCATACGTCGAGTTCGACTCACCTCTTTGTAAGGGAAACTGCGTGCGCCATCCCAAGATCCATGTGGCATGCCCGAAACTCTTGACACTTGCTAGGGCTGAGGGTTCAAGGTTTTGGGTTCGGGGTTTAGAACTTACGGGTTTAGGGTTTAGGATTTTCTATTCCTACCGGTAGCAGAAGTTTGGTGTCTGACAATTGGGAAAACCATGATTTCACTTACATTGTAATCAACATCTGGTGAAGCCTTTTGCCAGCTAGGTTTTGGGTGTTTGCACTCCACTGTGCCTAAAACACACCCAAAACCCTGCGGGCTTTTGCTTTGGATTTTGGGTTCCGGTAGGCGCCATCCAAACAAAAGAAAAACTCACAAGTGCTGTGTTAGAGCTCGAACCTTCGTTCTAGCCCATAAGTCTGTACACCACTACGCCTGTGTGGAGTGTAGGTCTCAGATTTCGGACTGTAGGGTTGAATCTGGCTTGTACTGCTCAGGCCTATATCGGCCCTTATTCAACCGAGTCCCCGGCTGTCAGAGACGTGAGACATAGAAGCCCTCCGATCCTAGCGTGCCGGCCCAGACGCAAAGGCAGATGCAGGACTTGTTAAGAGGGCTGCCTGCACTCAGCACAACCGCAGGAAAAAAGAAGCACTATCAGGATGCATGTTTTGGTCCATCTAGCCAAGAGGGATAGCTGGGACAGCGGTAGTTGTTCACATGGCCTCCGTCAGACACAGCACTGACCATCCATGCTAGTGGTGTAATTCTGAGTTACGCCCATGTATTATCATGTATCAAACATGTTGATGTGCCAAGCCCTCAACAAGTGACATGGCCCTGCACCTTTGGAAAGCTCCTCATAGGGGCCGCCAAGATTGAAGACGCCATAGACGAGGATTGCTTTGACAAAGAGGTTTCGTTCAGTCTGCATTACTACATGGCAGCATTGAGGCAATGTCACTATCTTTCATTGGGGGAACCCTGCTCTGCATGATACCCCTGTATGAGTGTCTTCATGGATACATAACACCCTGCTGCAGGCGGCCCAAGGAGACCCCAGAGGGAGAACACTCTGAACCCTAAAGCATAAATACTACCTCAGACCCTAAATCCATAAACACTCGCGCATTGCACTCGGATCTTCTTGTTCTTGCAACTGTTCGGTCAGAGTTACCCTGCAATACAGGTCTCGTCCCTGCTAGGTAAGATGCAAGATGCCCTACTCCTGGCCTTAAGCCCTTCGCCCGAGATAAGGACGGTGCCCTGGAGAGTGCAGGAGGTAGAGTGGCGACCTTGGCTGCTTTGAGTGTCCAAGGGAAGCAGGGTATAGAGGTTAGAACTAGGTATCGATTTGGGATATTTTTCTATTTTCCATTGTTGTTTAATATAGAGCCCTTGTTATCAAGAATTTTGGGGGCTGTTGATATCGACACCCAGGGTAGGTTTAAGGCTTGGGGTCATTTCTGAGATCCTGAGCGTTCTACGGTACACAAGAGACATTCAGGTTTCTGGACTGAGGCTTCGAGCCTAGTTAGAAGTTCAATTTTGCAGCCTCCATGTCAAGATGTACAGTGCAGGGCTTACGTGACATGAACTGAACTCGCCTTTTTCAGTACTTGTAGCCGCCTGCGTACTCCTGCAAAGTGGGTGAGGGAGGCTGTCGAAGTGTATGAGGGTGTTTTATTTTCCAAAGGACGTCTAGACCTTCAGAAGTGAGTGACTTTGTGTGAGAGTCTGGGAGGTTAGCAAGCCCAAGCCCTGAATCCCTTGAAGCATCAATCCCCAACTCTAGACTCTCCGTACTATCCATGATACATCACGGTTCCTGCTTCGCTCTTCTTCTGTTCTGCAGTTTTCATCAAACAGTGAGAGGCCGGTTACATCCCGGACGTAGGTCTGATGGTTAAAAGTTTCAAAAGGTCGCTAGGACGGAGAGATGGCGGTCATTGCGGGGGCGGGGGGTGGTGTTGTACAATGAAGCTTCTCACTCTCCTGGTGAGCTTGTTAGCAGCCCTTGTAGGCCAATGTTCGGTTTTTCCATGGCGAAGGACCATTTCTGTTCGTGGCAAGATCAGCAGGTATGTTTTTGATTTGTTTAGGGCTTGTTTTCATGTCAGTTAAGCTTGACAAGACTACTTACTGTGAGTTAATAATGTAAATGTTTACGGCCTGGCACCGGTTGCTCAAGTCGTTGCTGCAGGTTCCACACTCAGAGCAACTGCGATGCTTTGGCGGAAGGGCAACCGATAGCCAGCCTGCTCCCCAGCATGTGGCAAGTTTTTGACAAATCAGCACCATCCTTCTCGAAAGCACTGTACTATGCAGACATTGCCTATACCATTTCTGGGGGGGGGTCCTTAGGTTCCTCATTATAATTCTAGTATAATGGGCCCCAAAACCCGATTCTAGTTATTACGACCCCTACATTATCCTATTTACTATGGTTGATGGTATAAATCCTGCAGTACCTTAAGGACCCTGGACTATGGGAACTATGGTTGTTTCCTTATTATGGGTAATGCAGGATTTATATCATCAACCGTATGACCCCTAAAGTATCCACCCTTGGGCCTCCGAAAGATCCCTGGCGACTCTTGCGTCGCATCGGAGGTTCGGCGCTGCCGACCAGACCAATCGAGCCATGAGCTGAGACTCTCATGAGAGCCTCAATGACTAACTGCGGGCGGGGCTTAATGATTAGAAATGAGAATGAGGCTTTGGGGGGAATATCCATGTTCTGGGCCTAAAAAAGCGTTTAGGAACCCTCAGATATGATAACTTCAGGAGATTATGCCCTGGTCGAGCTCCACGGAGCATGGCTAGACCGGGCTAACGAACAAGTTTTGGGTGCAGGGCGAGACCAAACCGAAGGTTTAAAGAGAGTCCAACAGGTTTAGGGTTTCGGAATACACCTTAACTGAGTAATATGCTTATATCACCGACCTTAATAATATGAGTGAAGGTAAAGGTATACTCCGTACTTAAGGGGTGTTGGCCTCTCTGGGTTCAACACCTGCAGCACCTGGCTACAGATATTGCTGGCCGACGCGACAGCAAACCGTCGATGTTGATACCGTCATCACCGCCGTTACAGTCGAAGAATCGGTTGCTCTTGCAGGAACGCC